ATTATTAATTTCAATCGGTTATTTCCACTTCCTTAGAAAATTTTAATATAATTTTATAGTAAATATGCATTGCGTGACCTGATCTAAGTACACAACATCACAATACACATAAATTTAAAAATAATAGAAAATTAAGTCCCATATTTCATTATAAATTATATTGCATATCGGTAATACGTACAAAACTCAAGCATTTCGAAGCTGGTAAACGTTTATTAAATTTCATAACCGTTTTGCCTTCTTTCAAACTATCATCTGTGCATTTCATTTTCTGAGCTAACAGAGGTAATATTGCTAAGAAATGCCCAGTTGCAATAAGGCAGCTTCCTCGCAAAACTGGGTTAGGGTTGCCAAATTTGGCGCGAAATTGCCCAATTTGCGACATTTAGCTACAAAATTGGCGATATGCCAAAGACGGAGCGAGAACATTCTAGAACGAATTCTTACCGGTTTTCTCGGCAATTTTCTCCAAGGCATATGTACTTTGCCCGTACATTTTAGTTGCTGAAAATATCTTCCTCTTTTAATTCTTTAATTCTATTCAGTTTATTGAAATTTCTCCTTTTTAGCACAACTTCAGTAACTAAATTTTCGTCTAAACATGAAATGAATGATGCCGGTATATACAGTTGAAGAACTTCGCTATAACGAACTGCAACAGACAAAACATATAGTTCGCTATATCCGATACCATAAGAAAATTGAATTATGTCATAAAAAAGAATAAAAATTACTAGCGAATCAAAAAAAAAAGTCTAAAAGGGTTCTGATGTTAACGATCGTTTAAAAAAGCTCTTTTAAAGTTTAATTCCTTGAAGGGCGGTGTTACCTACAGTAACTACCTTTTCTATTGAACATCTTACTCATTCATGTGAGTGGTTTTCAAGACTGACAGTTTCTGGAGTTCGCTTGTAGCTCACTAGATGACAATCAAGAAACATAAGCCAGTAACTGATGCAGCAATTCGCCTTCAAGAAAATAAGCACCAGCCATCGAAGACAACATCACGACGATGTGCACTCTGCAGCTCCAAGAAAAAGCCTGTAAGAACAGTGTGGAAATGCAGCACATGCAAAGTTTCACTCTGCTTGAAAAAGAAAAACTGTTTCCATGATTACCATAGAGACTGATTTGTAGGGATGTGTTCTATGGGCAATGGTCACTGACATTAACCACCAGAAGTGGTCATTTTTTTCACGCGTCTTGGACAAATTATGTGTAATTGTCGCAAACAATTTCATTGTAACACCTGATATAGTTATAAGGTATTTCTCCCGCCTTCTTAGCGTGCCTTCGTGGTGCAGTGGTCTGCATGCTGGGAGCGTATTCCAGAGATCCGTGGTTCGATTTCCGGCTCTTTTTTTCAAGACTCCTGCTTCCAAAAAATCTTAATGTTTCTACAGGGGCGCCCAAATTAAAAGGTGTATTTCTCGCGCCTTCTTAGCCTGCCTTTGAGGTGTAGTGGTCTGCATGTTGGGCGCGTATTCCAGAGGTCCGTGGTTCGATTCCCGGCAAAGGCGTTGCTCATTTTTCATCCTTCCTGCTTCCCCCCAAAATAATAATAATAATGATGTCTCTACATACTAAATAAAACAAGAATTTTGCTGAAAACGTTAATTGCCTATTCCTGCTCCTCAAAGAGTTAATATGGTTTATCAGTAGAGATTATAGATAGGCATGGTCCAGGTGCAATAGCGAAGCATTTTAGAGGATATTGGATGAATACGCTTTTAGACTAACATAGGAAACTTTGCATGTCCAGTAAATTAAAAAAGTGGGAAAAAAAAAAAAAAAAAAAAAAAAAAAAAACATGTAATGCAATTCTGTAAAAATATTAAATGTTTGTAATTAGATATATCATGAACTAAAAACTAAACTCAGTGGCGTAACAGCCCTAATGGGCTGAGGCCTGCAGTGCCCGAAATCTGCTTTCTTGACCGTGAGCCCCGGGGTGCGTAAGCATATGCCCTGAACAAGTGGTCAGCTTGGTCGCAGGACCCCCAGTGTTTACACCCCAAGCAAACTTGATACTCATTTTATCGACTGATGGAAATCAAGGGATGAAATGCTGAGTCGACCTTGCCCAGCACGGGAATCGAACCCCGGAGCTGTGGTGCTGCTATGCGATGCGCTAACCGCTGCGCCACTAGATATCATGAACTAATGCATTTTTATTTAAATCAAATATATTAAAAAGTAAAAAATAATTTTTTTAAGATATACATCTGTAGCTTTCAAATACTTTGTTAATTAATAACAGACACATATGAAAGACTAATATCTTGCATTTTTGGAAAGTGAAACAATGCCAAATTGTATTTCGAAACTTCAGCTTTTTTTAATTAAAAAAAAAGGATTGGTATAGTCACATTTTCCGAAAGAAGTAAACATTAAAATTAGGTAAAATAGCAACTTTGTGCTTGCCGGAGATTTTAATTATAGTACGTATTAATATTAATTTTTTTTAAGTCAAATTTTATGTACTATTACGTTGCAGTTATTAAATCTGTTTGGCTTCTTTCGTTTCTAGTTTCCATTATATTAGCAATTTTACACGATACATTACTTAGCGTAAAAGTCATAGTTGTGATCTTTTCATTTCTCTCTAAAATCTGTAATTATCAACAATAATTTTATCCAGAAAAATATAAAAAGTTAAAAATGAATAAAAGTAATATCGACGGATTTATCGTTAACATTTACTTAACTTCTGAAACATAATCTGTAATTTCCTTCTTTCGTGATGCAGATTTACAAGAAAGTTTTATCAGTATTTGTATCCTAAAACTAAAAAAGATTCCATTATTCTTAGGTTTGTAGTTTGCGGCAATACGACTTCTTAAGGATGCGCTTCGAAGATTTGGCATCCGCTCGTAAGAAAAGAATTAAACATTTCATATCATAACCTTAAGATTACTGTACGCTGTATGATTGGCTCTCAAAAGTGTTCGTACACTTATGATTTTCATCGAAATAGGGCTCTATCCATTAATTAAAAGTAAACTTTTAATAGATTATTTATAAATTATAATAAGATTATTAATAAATAAAATCACATGAAATATTTTTAAAATATAGCGAAAAGTCTTCGTACACTTCAAAACAATCTTGACATAGTAGTAAATATTTTCATCTTTCGTTAAATTAATATTAGTAGGATATCCTTTAGCATCCACAACAGCTTTTAAACGTCTGGGAATAGATTTTACTAGTTTTTTTTGTAATTTATGTATCAATGTTCATCCATTCTTCCATCATGGCTGTTTTAAGTTCGCTTTTCGTTTTGATGTCGTGTTTTCGTACTTTAACATCTAGCTCTTTCCAAATGTGTTCTATGGGGTTTAAATCTGGCGAGTGAGGTGGTGTTTTCAAAACCTGTGGACAATTATACAGACACTACAGGCGAAGGCTGAGAGCCGTATACTTAGGATCGTTATCATGATTAAAAATAAAGTTGCTTGCAATACCCAAATTTTGGGCTGATAATTTTAAATTGTCTCTTAAAATATTTAAATAAAGAGAATGATTCATTATGCCATCAATAAACACCAAATTACCTAATCCTGATGCTGTCATGCCACTCCCCCCCAACAAGAACATCACCGCCATGCTTAACTGTTCCAATTAAGTTCTTAGAATCAAGTTTCTCATTTTTTCTTCTCCATACAGTTATACGACCATCGGAACCAAAAATGTTAAATTTGCTTTCGCCAGCAAATAGGACATTATTCCAATAGGTTTCGGGTGTACTTTGAGAATGAAAACCTAAAAATTTTTTACGGGCAGAACACCCATGTAATCCAGCTTCTCTGAGAACTATCGAACAGTTTCAGGTGAAATTGAAGTAGAAAACTTTGCATTAAATTCTGCAGAAACTTTAATAGCACTCAAACGTGGATTTTTCACAAATTTTTTAATAATAAATCTCTCATCACGTTTAGTTAGCTTTCTCGGTCGACCTTTTCTTCCCTTGTATACAATCCGATTTTCTTCTTCAAAGCTTTTTATCATATACTGCACTGTAGAATGGGATAAAATAACTAATTTAGTGATATTTCGAATTGATTTACTAGTACTATGGTGAAAAATTATCAATTTTCGAATGCTGTTTCTAATTTCTTTACGACTGCGACCCATTTTTAAGTAATAAATAGAATATTATGAAGTAAACAATACAAAAATTAAAGCAAACGATTTTTAAATGCCACTAAAAATGCAAAAATTAAAAAAAGCGGCAAACGATAATTCTAATTTTGATTTTATCCCAAAATATTTCAGTGTACCAAGACTTTTGTGAGATAAAATGTTTATCATTTTTTGATTATTAATTTCTTAAAAATAAAGTTTCGCTATAGTTTAAAAAATATTTCGCGTAATTTTATTACGAATAGATTATAGATCTTATTATTAAACTCTCATTTAGAAAGTTTACTTTTAATTAATGGATAGAGCACTATTTCAATGAAAATTATAACTGTACGAACACTTTGGGGAGCCACTGTATGTAGAATACTGCATTATGTTTATACTAGCATACCTGCTACGTAAATAATTCTAAAATTATTCCAGTATCTATACTGTTAAAATCTGGGCGCTTCTGTTTGTTTATTTGTTTTTGGCACTATCTCCTCCGGAACGTCGGAGAGTTGAACTTCGGGAGAGGTATTCTCGGATTCCAAAAATTAGTGAGAAGCCATTTCGACCATTCTCATCTTTGCACGACTTTGTCATTGATAGCAGTCATTGATCGCAGTCTCTTACAATTAGTTATTGATCTTACAATTAGCATTTCAACTCTTATGTGAATAATTGATTTCGTTCCTGTGAAATACTAGTAGGCAAATGCCCTTAAAAAGTATTTCTTTAAACTGAATTTCGTTCCAAACAGTATTTCAGAGAATTCAGGAAAACTTTATTAAAATAATTTTATGTCATTATTTTAATGCATATTCCAATAGGGTATAAGCAATGATTTAAGAAATGGATAAAGAACACATTACCTGTATAACTGATTAGCTTTGGTAAATATTCATGCCAAAAGGCACACTCTTTGGCTCTGTGCGCCCGACCAATTTCGGTGGAGTTCACCGCTAGTGTTAAGTATTCGCGACTGGTGGCTGTGTGAACAGGCCAATAGACTGTTTCATATTCTCCATCTGGGCTTTGACTAGGGTTTCTGTAAGAAAGAACATTATTACAATTTGTAGTTAAAATGTAAAAGTAGTATAATAAAAGAAAAAAGAATTTGCTAAACAAGACAGAAATTCATTTCATGATAATGTTTGACACATTAATTTGTTGAATTTCTTCGTCAACCTTTATATAAACCAAACAGAGCACAAAAATAGAAGACTGTTGTTGTGACTAATCTCACTTGTTTTTAACACCAGAAGAAGCCCACGAAATTCATCGCAGCAAGAAGTACAAAATTACGCCTGTCACTATCAAGAGCCTGGGGCACCATGTAGGTGAGAGTATGATTTTGCTCAATTCCACCGTAATTTTGAAGAAAAGCCCCCCGAGGTAGGGTGGAGTCGAGCGTCTCCCACCCCTTTTCCCCCTACACCAATCCACACGTGAGAACTTTCGGCTCGCCGTATATTTAGAGTGCTCCCATGCCACAAAGACACTACTATATATTTACAAACATCCGCGCCTTCACTTTATCCATCCTTTCCGGGATTCGAATCCAGGCCCTTCGGTATGGTAATCAATGTCACTAAACACTCTCACGTTTGGGAGGCGAAGAAGACTAAATTGACCCAGCATAAAACTTCTTAATAGTAAAATAAAAGTAATCAAACTCAAGCAAACGTACGCATCATAAAGTACAAATGAGAATAATTCCTAACGGATTTTGCAACTTGAATTGTAAAGAAATGTTACGAAATGTACAGGCGCGGTGAGATAGCTTCCACGTAAAGCAATTTCAGGGTTGCCGTAAAATCGCAGGGAGGCAGGGTTGCCACATTTGGTGAGAAATCGCCCATTTGGCGACAAAATTGACGATATACCATGGACGGTTGGAGAACCTTCTGGAACGAATTCTTACCGGTTTAGCCCAGAATGTTCTCGAACACAAGAAGCCGAAAGCTATATAAACCCTGCTGGTCCGCAGTCAGTCAGTGTGTGCTTCATCGAGAGGGCGAGTGTGTGTGTGCCTCGCCTAGCGAGCTGATAGTCAGTCATTGAGCGAGTGTCTCGAAGTCTAGCGCCGAGGTGGTCGTCAAGTGCATCGAGAGAGTCTTTTAGTGCATCGCGAATTAGTGCGTCGTCGAGTTTTGTCCTAGATTGTGCAGAGTCGAGAGCTATACTCTTGTGTATCGTCGAGTGCATCGCGTGGAGAGTCTCGAGAGTACGTTAGGTTCCGAGAACAACCAAGCAGAGTTGGGAGCTGTACTCGGGTGCTTTGCAGTGAAGCTGTCTCCACCGCTGTCGCCTGACAGTGTAAAAGCTATGTCGCTGATTGTATCAGCGTGTTTATAGTAGTTCTTTCACGACTGTAGCGTGATTTTGAAATGTCCTGACTAGTACTGGTTAAATAAAGAAAATAACGTAACAGAAATAATTTGACGGTGATATAATAGTTTAACGCGTAAATACAGCTTCTCATCAATCAGCAAAGTTTTGCGTTAAAGTACCAGTTGAAATGACAATTCAATTAAAGCTGAAAATGGTGACTTTTCTAGTTTATTTTGAGGCATTGTAACATGCACGGTAAAATAAATTAATTAAATAAATAAACACACTTGCAACTCGGATGTAAAACGTTAACAAAAGGTTTCGATACTTATCTCTTAAAGCTAACACCTCAGCGCACAATTTGGCGATTTTTACAGATGACAAAGTAAAAGCTACTTGTCGGGTGCAAGTTGGTGGATTTCGCGCCTTTTTGTTTTTTTTAGAAAGATTACCAAACTATCGATATTAACGTAAGTCGATAAACATTATTAACATATGAAAAAAACATACTTTATAATTTAAAATATAAATTTGAATTATTAAATGAGGATTACGTGATACACTAAAAAAATAAAACACATTTTTCTTCAAATCTTTCTGTAAAGTTTTCTTTGTGTTATTCTTTTCCCGAAGTACACAGCGATCTGTTTTCGCTTTACAAACATCAGATAACTGCGGAGACTCGGCTTCGTGTAATCCTCGGCAACAGCGGCTACATAGGAAACGCATTTGCACGTTGTTCGTTTTAGAAACTTTCCATTGAAATTCTTATTCCTCCAGAAATTTTACCCTAGTTACTGGTAAATTCCACAAGCTCATATTTTAAAACTTAGTTATGATTAATAATTAAGTTATGATTTATAAAAACCATTTGAGCTTGGAATAGAACAAAAAAGAACGCATGGCGGCGTTGCTTGACTGAAACGATTATGAGCATGGTTGCCTAAAGAATGATTATGGGCATGATTGCCAGAGTTTGGCACATTGTAAAAATTTGGCGACTTCTACTAAGGTGGTTGCGTTAATACATAAGTACAGAAATTTATTTCTATTTATTAAAAGTAAATCAAAGATAGATAATATTAAAACACGTCATTACATGGCAGTACTCCTTATTTAATTTGTCAAAATATCTTATTTTAAAAATCTGTTTGGTGTTTTTTAAATTAGAAACAATGCTAATTATAGTATATAGGCTATAAACACATCTATAACTGAACAAAACCTTATTGCATTTACAATCATCATTTCAATTTGAGAGGAAAATTAATCGTGAAAAAGAAATAACTTAAATTGGAGATTTAATGATATATTTCCGGGATTCAACCTTTCGTATAGTTCCGGTTTCACGGGATTTTATTACTCCTATTTTTGGCTTTTTTTATTTCCTATTTTTGCCTTTGTTTATAATACCGTATTTGATGGCATATAAGACGCACCCTTATCTAGAAGGCCACACACAAGGGAAAAAAAGTTTCAATAGCGTGGTTTCTTTTACTTCTCATGTTTCGTAAAAGCCAAATAAACAATTATTGAATGCAATTACTTTCACGCATAAGACTCTGTTCTTCACGTATAAGACGCAGGTAACTTTTTTGAGACCAAATTTAGGAAAAAAAGTGCGTCTTATATGCCGTCAAATACGGTAATTGAAATTTCAACGTTAGTTGTTACAAATTTAAAATGTCTTCTCAAATACACTTTTTATATTAAAGCACGTAATTTAAATTTTAAATCAATTTATTTATTCTTTTTATCACAAATTTATAATATACACAAAAGTACATTTTGTAAAATTCTCAATAATAATTTATGAATTAATGAAAACGAATTTTAAGTAACTGAGCGGTAAGGATCATAACACATAATAAAAAATTAATTTACATTTTAAGCTCTAAATTCATTTCCAGAGAATTTGAAAAATTTATCGTTTCTGTCAGTTTAATTACGAGCAGCTCAAGAATGCAAGAATTCTTGCTAAAAGCTTAATTGCTTTGCTTCAATTAATTAACTGCAAGAATTTAATCTTAATTATAAGAGTTAATGAAATTCTTGCCTTAACTGTAAGGGAAACTGTGTAAAAATTTCCGAGTGTATGTACTTGTCTGAAATAAACAAGAATGTAAGAAGAAAACTTTTACAACTGATATGTTACAGAACTGATAATCGATGAGTAGAGAAAGATTGTATGCACATAAATTAAAAAGAAATTAGAAAGATGGCACATAAATTAAAATAGTACCCAACCTGTGGAGCCCATGGAATTACGAACTGATGACTCCTCAACATAGCATATAGTTTGCATAGTGTTAAAAGGGGACAAGAGCACTGTTCAGGATGGGGGGCCATAAATATTTACACTTTTAAATGGAAAAAAAAAAGTGGTAAGTTACCTTATTGTGATTTTATATTTATCTATGTACACAAAGAAGAAAGGTCTATGTTTTTGTTCGTTAATAACTCAGTTACTACTATAGCTATCGTCACCAAACGTTTTACAGTTCTTTTCTCGGTCCTTGGAAAGATCGACGTCCACTTTTTTTTTTCAAAAAAGTAGCTGAAATCAGAGATATTAATTAAAAACTCGGAAAAATGATATTTTTCGCCCTCATTTTTCCGAGTGGCAACAGCCTCGCAAGCTGGAGATGAAAAATTTGCTTTATTTCGAAAGTTGTTGCCACTGCTCGCTTTCAAATCCTTTATTAATAAAAAGTTTCGAAGTTTTACGATGAAATAAAAATAGCATTGCCAAACATTAAATCACTATTCCCGATTCCAAAAATTCGTGGGAGGCCATTTTGACTATTCCCATCTTCGTACGATTTTAATCAGCCAAAATATTAATTAAAAAACACTGAAAGCGCTAATTTTCGCACTCATTGTTTTGAGTGGCAATAGTCTCGGACATTGGAGATAAAAATGTTTTATTTCGAAGTGTTGTTACTGCTCGCTTTCAAATCGTCGACTTTGTTAATCGAAAATTTGTTAAGTTTTAAAAATCTATAGACATAAAGAAGAATGTATGTTTGTGCGTTTGTTTGTTTGTTCGCATTATTGATTTCTGATCAATTTTTTGCCACATTTAATCGACTAAAATTGAATATATGTGAAATATTGGATGGAACTTGAACTTTTACTACCATTTGATTAGAATGACTAAAATCATTAAAAACTGCGTAAACTGCGAGCGTGATTTAAAACTGATAAAAAAGAGAGAGAATTAGTTTATTTTTCTACCGAAATGTTTTATGTGGGTTCCATACGCGTCAGACTGAAAAATGTATGACTATGAATCTATTTTTCCCATTGTTATTAGAGAAGGATTACAGCGGTATCGTTCTGTCTGTTGTTAAACACATTACTTTCAATCTAACTTGACTGACATTGGGTACTTCCCCTAGTAACGGAATAAAAATATATTAGAGTTCATTTGTATAAAATAAAATTATCCAATGTTCACCTTCTTGTGTTTGATATTCTTGCACATAGGTTTTCAAAACCAAGCTAGCGCATGCACGCAGACCAGCAGTTATTTTATGATGAATATTCAGTATCAGTTAGGCTATTCCTGTTCATTCATTCGTGTATACAGGAACTTTTAAGATTTCCTCATAATAAATGTCACTGGAAGTAAGATCTGGACTTCTCAGAGTCTAGGGAATGTCTGCGTGGTTTGTAGCACATTCTGCTGCACCTAAAGATTCTTTTTGTAGA